TTATGAACTACTTGTTTTGCGCTAAATTTGTTTCTAAATTGAATTGTCATATAGAATTTTCTCGTGTTGTTTGTTGTTTTAGATTCGACTTATGTTCAGAAAGGCAAAGGTATACCTAAAAAGACTCATGCATACTGTATAAATAATGGTCTTAATCTATTAGAATTAAATGAAAATACGACACTCAATAGGACACAATAGAGAAAAAGGATTCATGTAGTCGACCCACTTAATGGGATAAAGGCTTGTTGTTGTTGTTGTTAGTTTGCTATGTATTTTAAATCTATCCCATGCGTGCTCTAATTGCATTTTTTTGTAATTTGTTCTACATATGTAAATTAACTTCCAATAACATGAGGCATCTTTAGCGAACACTTCAAAGTCATTTCATACTTGTTCAGTTTAGTCGACAAAATTTGAGAAATAATATTATTTTCATAATTCATACTTGATATCAGATCGAGTTACCTTGAAAACTGCTCAATGTGTATTGAATTATTTATCAGATTAATTCGTCATGTTGAATCTTTATCTATTTTAATTTTTTGTGCATTTTAAAAAATCTATCAAAATGTGCTTCAAATTAATCTGATTTTTTTTTGTGTTCTATCATATGTAATTTAACTTCTTATGAATATTTACTTCAATTGAGCTTCATTTGGTGTTTCTATTGCTTGCATATTTTACTCTCAATGTTTTAAGTGTTGGCTTTAATGTTGAATTGTGGTCAAGCCTCTAATTAATTTATTCTCTTTACGGATTGTACATACATGCAAATAGGATCTATGGTGTCATCTATATAATTGATGATGCTATCATTATTGATTCCATGTCTCGGTCACATGTTTGGTGCCGATCTCATGAGTTTAATACTTTGTAGAGAGATACATCTTTTCTAATTGTCATAGAGCAGCTATAGCAATCTGTGCTCTCATCAAATTTTTTTGTGGTTTGGAGCTTCATTCAGTGATAATAGATTCTTTAATGCTTTAGACAATGATGCATTTGTACAATTAGGTTTTTTTTAGTGTTTCGTAGAGTATTTTATACGCTTAGGACCAGTTGGTTGAACTGTTTTTTATTTTTCACTTTATCTGGCCCTTATGTTGCTAAGGTTTCTTTTAGTCATGTTATTTTATTGGGCATTGTTGTTGTTGGGATCATTTATGTGTTAGGTCCTGTGTTGTTTGAATGGTGTGAGCATTGAGTTATCCTAATCATTTCGTTGTCCTAGCTCAGAAGACCCAATTTGACTCTCTTTTGACCACTCTTTGTGACATCACAAAAGTATGAGAATCAATTGTATTTCTATTCATACCAATATATTACCCAATCTCATATTGAGATATATTAGGAAATGATGATCTAGGAACTGAATCAATGACCTGATTTATGTTTATGTTTCATTACTAATTATTGTTAGGAAATTCATCAAGACAAATTTCTAAATTCAAGTTAGTTGGTTGAAGTGGAGGAATGCTTCGGGCATTTTGTGTGATAGAAATGTACCGCTTAAACTGAAAGAAAAATTTTATAAGGTGGTGGTGAGACCTGCAATGCTTTATGTCGTTGAATGTTGGCCTTTAAAAGAGAAGCATAATACAAAGTTAAGTGTTGTCAAGACGAGCATGGTTAGGTGGATGAGTAGCTTTACACTTAGAGAAAAAATGCGAAATGAATATATCCATGATAGGGTTGGTGTAGCTCCTGTGACGGGCAAAATTAGAGAAAGTCGTTTTAGATGGTTTGGTCACATTAAGCGTCGACCATCTGATGATCCGATTAGGAGAGTAGATGTTTTAGATTCGACTTATGTTTAGAAAGGTTGAGGTAGACCTAGGAAGACTTAGGCTTATTGTAAAAAATTATCTTAATTTATTAGAACTAAATGAAAATATGACACTAAATAGGATGCAATGGAGAAAAATAATTCATGTAGCCGACCCCATGTAGTGGGATTATGTAGTGGGATTAAGGGATTAAGGCTTTGTTGTTGTTGTATCCAACACTTGATAATATCATTTGTTACAGTGCAATTTTAAGCATTACATTATTTAACTCAATAATTACTATGGCTTAGATTACACTTTATTTCTTCCTCTTTTTCTCAAATTCATGTTTACTTAAAAGATGGTAAATTACTTTTCACGTCATTAGGAGCTAGATTCTTTCGCAAACTTAACCCTTACTCTTAGGCTTTTTATAAGTTTCAGAATCTTCCTTCTCTTTTTAGTCTTGGAATCATATGCATTATCCCTCTCAAACTGAGAAACTTCCAAATCATAAAGACAAGTTCTAACCAAAGCAATATGAGCAATATCTATGAGTAGTGCATCACCCTAAATTGTACTGGTTATAGATGGCTAGCTGAATTAAAACTAAATACCTTGGAGACATAGAAATAGTAATTTAATCCATCCTTACTTTTGAGGCACAAACGTATGGTTCATATTTCAATTTCTTGCAATCTGGGTAAACTTGACAAGAACTCCTACTATCGTTTATGAGATTGCAAAACTTCTCCTATTGTTTGAAATATGTTTGACAAATGGAAATTCTTTTCTAATTTGATTCAATGATAAGAGAAGTCATGATACATCTCCTATAATTCAAATAATCAATGAATGAATTCTTATAATCACTAACTCGACATACTCATGAAAATATCAAAATGTATGATTTCATTTTCTCAGTCCATATTTATATGCAAGTTCCTCATATGACACACTAGCATAATGATCAATTTAACGACACAAACTACTTCTTTGTGAAAATCTTAGACCTAGATGTAGATGGAATTGAGCTCCCCTTGGTATCCAAATTAATTGCAGTATTCTTACTCCTAGATGTGTTAGCCTAAACAAACTAAATTGCTCGGTACTAAAAATGACACACTGCCAATATATATAGTAACACTCTTAGAAAAATAATTAATGTATGCTCATTATTTAATGCAAGTTGAAGGTATGCTCAAGTAATAGAATGTGATGTGTTATCTTTTTTTTTTATTATTCTTGATTTCATGTCTCAAATTGGACCTAACGTAGTTTATGATTTTAAGATTTTCAATGATCTCAGAATACATTTATAGTTCTTTAAATCTTTTTATTATTCAAAAATAGTCTTGGTTTTTGGTTTTGATAAATTGAATTCATCAAAGAGATGATCATGTATGAAAAGAACAAATATTTTTTCGAGGCTTCATTGATTTCAATAAGTTCTTTCATAGGTTTTCTTTACCACTCCATGTTCAACCTATAAATTTTAGTTGGCCCAGTTATTTTTTTTTTTTGGCAAATATTTCTAGTCATTCCTCACATATAATTTGTCATTCAAGAAATTCTAAATCCATTACCCAATTAATAAATATTATAGGATCAGTTTACTATCATAGATTGACACTTCAACTTTAACTTCCATTTTAGTATCTTCTGTCATAGGAAAATGTCAATGTTCATGATTTTCATAAGCATTGTTTTTAGTTATTTTATATATTGTATATCTTGATTATTTCTCTATCTTATATGAGTGTTGATGTTTAATTGAATTGGCTTATTTTTATGATTGTAATCAACTTCAAGTTTATTTGCACGGACTTGATTAGCTTACAAATTTTCAATTATTGTGTTAAGGTGGTTGAAGTTGTCACATATTTAATTTTGCTTATTTAGCAACTCATTTACTTGTTTTAATGTGGCCAAAAATTCATCCCATTAACAAACAATTAAGTTATTTTTATAATTCCTTTTCTATGTGACATTTGACAGGCTAAAACTTACTACCAATTTGATGTACGATTCATGGTTAGGGTATATGTATTATACAAGGGATCTTAGGATTCATGGATCATAAACCACCAAATAAGCCAATAGCTTTTTTCATTTAAATGCAAATTGTAAACGCAAGAATTAGAATCCAAATAATAATTTCATTATCAAATAAATCTTAAAATATTAAAAAAAACCAAACCATGCAAATTGTATGATGATTATAATCACAACAAATAGATTTTTAGTTGTGTCAAATTTAAACAAAATAAAGTGTATTATTAACCAATCATAAAATATATTGGAGAAATTAGCTTATGCACAATCTATGAAGTTAGATAGCCCTATCTGCAATGTACTCAAAAGAACCATACATCTAACTTGGGACTTAAAATTGAAACTCGAAGAAAATTTTTTATTCAAATGAAGAAAATTAGTTTGCATATCTTAGTATATCTATCTATTGGTTTCTTAATCATAATCTATAAGCCAGTAGTTATGTTTGACACAAAATTAGTTTGATTTAATTTTAACATAATCATCATATTTCACATTGATTCTATTTTAAACTAAACTTTGAGATAAAATAAATGATATTCAGCACCTTACACAACATCAAAATTCAATTGCTCCTGGGTGCGGTGCTTGCCACTTGAAATCTCCACCTTCCCCGAAAAATTGCAAGCATCAGTAACACAGTTTCTCTCCATTAGTAGCAATAACATGATGAGAAATCATAGGTTGTGACAAAAGAACAAGTCAGTCAATTTCCACATTACTAATCCTATGAACAAGGCTTGACTCAATTATTCATCAGTAAATCGTTATTTATAAAATTAGCAATTTATTCACCAAATGTCTGAGTTCTACATTAGGATAAATATGACAATATATTAAGAACTGTCCCTGGAGAGATGTAAATGCTCTTTAATTACAATGTTCATTGCTAATTATCTTTTCCCAACAATCCATTTTATTTTAGGTGATTGGACTGAATACAACAATACCAAAATGATATTAAAACAGCAAACTGTATTCAATCTTGAGCAATTCAAAATAGAACGGTTGAAAATGAAAGTGAAAGATGGAATCTGTGGATCTGCATCTATATGACTATATTATGCAGTTATTTGTTCTCTTCTCTAACACAACCACCTAATCAATCTTCTGTGCTTAGAACTTGTTGAGTTTAGCTGTTTTTCAAGATCAAATTCTGATGATTTAAGTATACAGGTTGTTGATGCTTTGGTTCCATTGGCTGAAATGTTCCAATACGTGAGCACGCTTCGTGGGATGACAAAAGGGCGCGCTTCCTACACGATGCAGCTAGCCAATTTCGATGTTGTTCCCCAACATATACAGAATCAGCTCTCCTCTAAAGAACAAGTTGCCGTTTGATTTTGTTCGGTTTGAAGTGGAGACATGGCTTTGCACCGATTTTTCGAGCAATTTGATCGTCATTCGTGGGAGAATAACCTTGTTTTCATATTAGAAAAAAAAAATGTAAAAATTAAATCATTTGTGAGAATGCAATATGTAGTTTGCTATTTACTCATTTAGTTACCATATATTTCCCAAAAGTTGGCTTTGGGCTTGAATTTGAGGATTAACGAACGTAAATATATTTGTATATGTTCTGTACTGAATTTAAAAAAAAAGGTTATATTTTAGTGCCATGTGAACAAGTTTGAGACTCTTTAAACTCTTTGAAAATCGTTAATGACAGCAGCTTTGAAGATATCATGGTCTTTGTGCACAATCTTCTCTTCTCGACAAAATAGAAGTCAAGAACAATGAAGTCACTCCCATGATAGTTTGTGTTGATGATCCACAGTATTATATGTGGAAATTTGAGAAGATTAGGGGGGAAGGAAATCTGATGGAGGATTTGCTTGAGACAATTTAGGAAATTTTTGATTTGTTTATTTTCTTCTTATTCTATGTTCTTTTAATTTTTATTTCAGAATATTTTATTTTCTGATTTAGGTTAGATATGTTTGGTAAGTTTATAAATTAGGAGAGATTATTTTTCCTATATATATATATATAGAGAGAGAGAGAGAGAGAGAGAGAGAGAGTATAGAGAGAGAGAGAGAGGAGAGAGAGAGAGAGATGTACCTTACATGACAATATTAGAATCAAGAGAATTAATTATTCATCTCCAAACCTATTTTTTACTTGGTATCATAGTCTTAGGAAATAAATCCTAGATTGGTTTTTTTAGCCGTCAGAGCCGCTCAAGCAGCCATCCAACATCGAAATCTTCCCTATACTCATCGATCTTTCTATAGGTCCTTCGCCAAGACTTTTGTCTACAGCCACCAATGGTAGAGCTCTTCCCATACCGTACCTACTAGCCATCATGGTCCTTTCTTAATCTTCCTCCATAACCTCTGCAAGCAGAGTTGTAGATATGTCGTTGGTCCAAGTAGAGTCGTGGATCTATCGTTGGTTTTCTGTAGGGTTGTTGGATTGCATGATTGCTCCTTTGATTGGAAGTTCCGTTGGATTTATTCAGAGCAAACAGTCATAGATCTTGAAAAGAATCACAACAAGCAGTTGGATCTTCCTGAGCAAGTCGTTGGAGATTTAATGAGACAGCTATGTCAGTTGTTTTTCCTTATCTATTTCTACCTTCAAAAGGATCACAACAAGGATCTTTTCTGAGCAAGCAGTGATGGTTGTTGTCCCCCACATGTTGCCTTCCTCTAACAGTTGAGATCCTGCTACAAGGATTGCCTAGCAATTAGCTTTTAGTTCCTCTTCCACAATTCTAACTCTAAGCGTGCATGACTAAGTACAAAATGAAGATTCCAAGGTGGACTCAAAAGGTTAATTTTGAATCATATATATCAGGGATTCTATCTAGCTGACTCATAAAGTCTTTAACTTTTTCACAAATTATAAACAAAATGGGCATAACTTCCATTAATGGTCCCAATCCATATTTATGTACATTTGTGGTGAAGGGAAAGCACATGAGAGGGCACAATTGTTGAGTTCACTCCCAACCACCACACATGGAATTAAGACCATATGGTTATATTTTGGCTAGTCAATTCAATGACATCTGAAGTGGGAGAATATTTTTTTTTCTACAAAACTACCTAAGAAATCTAGTGGGTTGCAAAAGAAACACATTTATGTGTTGATTAAACCACAAAGTTGTTTGAGATCAAAACCAAGCTTCATGAACTTCATATAGAAGAACTAAGTGTCACCCAATACTTCAATACCCTTACAATTTATTGGCTAAAATTTGATATGTTTGAGACACATGTGTTGAATGTCCACATGATGCCATGATGTTTTAATTCATTATTGAAAAGAAGAAAACTATCAAACTCCTAGTTGGACTAAGTCAAGAATTGGATAAAGTCAGAGGGAGGATCATGGGAACAAAGCCTCTTCCATCTACTCTTTAAGCCTTTACTGAAAACAAGAGATACGAGAGCAGGGAGAAGCTGGTGCTAACTGAAAAATAAGGGTTCATTAGGTACTGAAAGCTTGACATTGTACATCCATAGTTCTTTCAATTGCACAAAACTCAAGAATAATCATCCTAAATGTAAATATTCAAGAAGGCAAATGTTAGAAAGTTCATAGAAAGCCTGAAAATTGAAACAGGGACTTGGAAGGAAAAATAAAGAGAAAAAGGGTAATGTTGCTACTATATTCGAAGGGTTGGCTAAACCATTCACCATGGAGAGGGGTAAAGTATTGAGAAAACTCCTTAGAGGTAATGCAGAGTAGAACAACAAACTTTTGTCATTTTAAGGTAATATATATTTCTTCCATCTTGCAATAATGAAAGATTTATAACTTGGATCATAGATTCATGAGCCTCTGATCATATGACTGAAAATATCAATGCACTAGTCAACTATCAAGAGGCTTCTCAATCTAGATTGATAAGATTTGTAAATCGATCACAATTAAATATTACTAGGAAAGGAAATGTGGATCTCTCTCTGGATGTTACTCTTTCCTTTATTTTATATGTTTTACAGTTAGACTATTATTTGATTTCAATTCATAAGCTTATTCATGATATGAAATGTATAACTAAATTCTTTAAGAACTCTTATAAATTTCAAGTGGTGGAGTCGGGGAAGGTGATTGGTAGTGTTGAAATGCATTAAGACATATCTTCTTAAGGAAAGTCTCTCTCTAAACAGACATCTGATTCCACCTCCATATCTACCTCAAAATTTTGAATCTGTTGAGTTCATATCTATAAAAAACATGTCTTTATTATGAAATTGTAGACTGGCCATCATAATTTCAATTATGTTGCTCAGTTGTATCCTCATTTTTTTATCAATAAAATTCTAATTGTTATCAATGTGAGATTTATCAACTTGCTAAATACACCCAAAATAGTTATCCTCTAACACAGTACAAAGCCTCACACCTTTTTCTTCTATTATCCATAGTGATATTTGGGGTCCTCCATAAGTGAAAATCTTAAGTGGGGTCAGATGTTTTGTCTCATTTATTAAGTGAAAATCTTAAATGGGGTCAGATGTTTTTTCTCATTTATTGACGATCACATTATAACCACATGGGTATTCCTAATGGAATAATCTAAAATTTCCCAAATCTTCCCAAGCTTCCATAACATGATTCAAACTTAATTCTAATACAAAATTTAGATCCTCAAACTCATAATGCAATGAAATATTTTAACTACATCCTTGGGTCCTATCTTTCAAAAATAGAATCATCCATGTGAGTTCATGTATTCATACCCTACAATAAATTGTGATAGTCGAGAGAAAGAAAAAACTTCTTTTTGAGGTATCCCACTCAGTTATGATGCCTCATCAAGTTTCTAAATATTTTTTTAGGGGAAGTTGTTTTTGTTATAACATATCTTGTCAATCGAATGCCTAGACTGGTATTTAACTTCAAAATATGTCTTCATATTTTGATAGTTACCTATTCTCACCTTAAAGCTTTCTCTTTTACCATCCCATTTAATTGGGTGTGTATTATTTGATCACCTTCATTCCCAAAATCGCATAAAATATGACCCTAAATCTATCAAGTGTATTTTTCTTAGATATGCCACCAATAAAAAGAGCTATAAAGGTTACTATCCTGTTATGTAAACTACTACAACTCTATAAATGTCATATTTTTTAAAAATTAATCCTACTATCCTAAATTTTATATTCATTGGCATAGTACAAATGAACATTAATGTTGGGATGCACTTGATGACCCCTGTATGGCCTCACCACCTACTCCACCCAACCCTCCTATCCTGGTTAGAGATTCCGTCCAACCCAACCTAAGGTTTTGAACAAAGAGCTTTGTGTGCACACAAGGAGGAAGAAAAATCATAAGCAGATGGAAGACAACTTGCAAGGACATAACAACTCAAACTAAAACTTGAGTCAGCATTCACCTGAAATTTCAAGAAAAGAGGAGCCTAGTACTCATGAGATAACTCCTTCCTCTTCCAAGGTTGGTGATAAGGAAAGTTGCATTAGATATCCAATTCAGAAGTAGGTATCTTTTGGAAAGCAATCCTCATCTTACAAAATTTATGCTTTAAGCTTGACAGTTTGCAAATTCATAAATCCATTCATGAAGGACTTGTAAATCCAAAATAGAGAAAAGCTGTTAAAAAGGAGATTCAAGAACTAAAGCATAGTTGTACATATATTTTTACTAAACTCCCTTAGAATAATAATCTAATTGGGTGAAAATGAGTGTTTAACGATGGGCGTGTTGACAGATTCAAAACCACTTGTAGTAAAAAAGTTTCACTCAAGCCAATGGGATTGACTATCAAAAAACCTTCACACCAACTACCAAACTTGGTACTATTAGAGTGCTCCTTTTAGTAGCAATTAAAAAGAAATGGTGATTGCATCAACCTAACATATATTCCATATCTTGTAATAATATTTTTAATTAAAAATTTTGAAACACTCCGAGCATCACATCAAGGTAAAGTGATTGTTTAAATCCATTTTGAAACATAATCCGCTGCAATATATATATATATATATATATATATATTTCTGAATGAGGATTTGGATGAAGAAGTATATATGGGGCTAACACCATAACTTATGAATGATTCTAACAAACACCTAGTATACAAACTCAGGAAGCCTTTTATGGGCTTAAGCACCAATCATGTAGTTTGAAAGGTCTGCTAAAACTATGATATTTAATGAGTATTTTCAAAGTCAAACTGATCATACTCTATTTGTAAAATACACTCAAGGATATAAATTGATAATATATTTGGATGATATAATTCTTACTGATGATGATTAATGAGAGATTTTCAAAATAAAAAATGTGCTTGCCTCAAAGTTTAAAATCAAAGACATAAGAGCCATGAGATATTTTTTAGGAATGGAGGTAACAAGGTTTAAGAAAAAACATCATTTTATTATAAGGGAAATACATCCTAGAATTATTAAAGGAGATAAGGATGATTGGATGAAATCTCATTAATAATCAAAAGGATCCTAATTAGAAGTCAAATAAGGGGTGAAATTGTACCCATGGATAAGGGAAGATATCAAATATTGGTAGAAAAAACCCATCTACTTGTCACATATGATGCTAGATATTCCATACTATATCAGTTTTGTGATCCAATACATGAATAGCCCAAACAAAGAGTATTTTGAGATGGTGTAC